TCTGGGTGCTCGGGTGCTCGAGCAGATGCCGGCGCCCCATTTCCGTCACCGCTATTTGCGCTTTGTGATTTTAGCCTTTGTCTGACCCACGGCCTAACCTTCGCTTTCGCTGAAGTTCCAACGGGAGACGGGGACAACGCAAATCGCGCAAGTTCAAAACCGCTCAGCTCTTCCTGAGGCTGAACGATTCATTTGCTCTCCGCCCCAATTACTCCACAGTAAAATAATGCATAAAACTCCACGTTCTTATAAAATAAGGCACTTTTAAAGTTTCTTCCCCAAATACCAAAAGCTTAAGGAAACTTAACTGACCTTGCTCATTTCTCTATCATTCTTATTCCAAAAATAAAACCAGTATTACTAGAAGCCGAGTTACGTTCAGGACTCCTGACGCTCTAAACTAGGCTGGCAAACATCCGACATGGCTTTCTGCAGATCACTCTTTCGCTAAAACAGCTCAAACAGGGTACCTTAGAGCACAGCACGGCCTTTGGGAACAAAGATCATCACCACCTCTCATTTTCTGGTGCTCACTACTTAACCCTTGCTTTTTGCATCCTCTGAAAGTCAAGTAAAAGTCCCACGTTAAAGAAACTTGGCAGTTGGCTGTATACAAAAGAAATAAATAAATAACCCAACAGCTGCATCCAACTCCGCAGCTTTTAGATCCCACGGAAAACGGTCAGTTTTAATGATTTGCTCTTTCACTGACAACATCCTGGAGACGTTTAAGTAGAACGTCATCGTTTTCCTGGCAGAGTCGCTTCATAGGAGATTCGGTGTCACCGTCCATCGCTATCGCTCGCTTCTTACTCCTGTGTTCACCGTGTTTTATCATATTGTTGATGTCCTTCAAACTCTGCAATTCAGGATAAAAAAGAATTAAAAAAAAAATAAAATCACGAGTTGCTATGACTCCATTTCACCCTCGCTCTGGCTTTCAGTTACCTAAGAGCAAAAAGCTATTGTGAGTCTCTTTGCTCCGTGAGGGATGGATTCCACGTAAAGAATCCTACCCTTCACCACAAACTGAGAGACTAGTTCCGCGAAACTTCACTGCGTTAGAACACATCCTAATCCGGAGACTAATTAACTGCCTCTCTAATTCATCCCTTTCAACCTTTTGGCTTCCTACCTTGGAAGGGCTCCCGTTAAATTTATACAGTAGTGCGCTTCGAGGTGTCAAGCAGGCGCCGTTCTTGTGTGGGGAAACATAAACAGAGTGCTGCTGAGAGATCCGTCGGGGCGACACGGGCTGCTGCTTGATGCTGGGGAACGGAGACAGGGGAGGGGCTTCCACCTGCAAGAGAGAGCAAATCTGGATGGGAGCCCAATCAGAAGATATTTAAGAGCAGTAACTGCACAGAAGGAGAGATTAATAGGCTGCCAGGTCTTCTAAAGAGTATTTTATCCTGTAACCATTAAACAACAGATCAAGTATCCGCCGAACAACAGACACTCCCCAGGCATTTGAGCAAATGGGTGTCACACTGATAGAAAGAAGCTGAAACTGGGGTTGCTAACTGAGCTGCATCCGCGTTTGTCCTCTTCAATGGCTTTTAAAGCAGACGAATAACAGAATGAAATTACTGACATATGTTTACCTGTCAGGAAAAAGAACTCTGCATCCAACTACTAGCTAGAGCGAAATTCCAAAACAACTTTACGTACTGTGTGATCCTGGTTTGTGATATCGTACTTCAGTGCAAATGATTTTACTCTTCCTACGTAGACTGCGTTGTAAAATTTAATAAGATCTCCTCTCTCCTCTGTTCCCGACTCACTGGAGTTCTCCGCTGTGGATTGTCCCGAGGAACTGTCAGTTCTCACTGGGGAGTCTAACAGCAAGACAGAGCTTCAGGTTTCACAAACACAGCATCAGCCCACGGGGCGCTTCACATTCAAACCTGCGGTATCCAACTGACAAGAACTCATCCATGAATTGACCAGTTAATGAGATGAATTAAAGAAACATGCCTCAGCCAGGAGCAGCCTGTGCTGTAGGTGAGTGCAAACATCAGGAGGAGCTAAACACCACTGACCAAAGCTAGAGAGTTATGGCTAAAAACACCAATGTAAATTGTTTATTCCAAGCACAGAATTAGCTGCAGCAAATAATCCCAGCACAACTGACCCCTTTGCCCACGCTTATGCCGGGGGAGTGGGGCAGAGTCATTTGTTGCTCTTAAAGTCTAAGTTTTAAGCAGTCTGACAATCCCCAGCTCTCAGCCTCCGAGAAAGCTTCTGGCAAGGAGCAGCTTCGTACTCGACTCACATCTGCTGTGACAAAGCCACGGCGCCAGTTGCTCAGGCATGTTACATGACGGCTGTTCAGTGGAAAAAGCTGCAGCCACACACCAAGGGTATTTCTGCAAACGCTCTCTCTCCCCTAACTAAGCCAGGCCTCTACTGACGCCAAGCTGCTACACTTCATCCTCTGCGCTTTTTACTGTCAAGTAAGAACACGGCAACACAGAATAAAGCTTCTGGCGACCACTGCACAGGGCCAACCCGCAAAACCTTCAGCTGATACCCGTAAGAGCAACTCCGTGGTGTCACGACACAAGCGTGTGGTCCCGTAAGCTGGTGTCAAAAGACAGGAGCTGATGCTCGACAAAGGACACAGGAGTCCATTAACTGAAGAGAAAGCCTGGCAGGAAAAGCAACTGAAGAACTTTGTAACCAAGTGCATGTTTGACAAAACCCTGGAGCCACATCAGACGCTCCACAGCATCCAGGAGCTGTGGAGCCGCTGGACACGATGCTGAGCCTACAGGGGATCATCACTTTCCCGGATCCCAGAGGAATCCTTTACAGGCCTTTTAAAAACGGCTCTAACACTCGTTCAAGCCACTGAATCCCACCCACAGTGGGAATTTGCCACGAAGAATAGTTTTCTAAATGGTGTGTGCCCTGGCTGCAGCTCTGCTCAGGAGCTCACACATAGGCTTGGGCTCTCTGTTTCCTGAGATGTCACTAAAAAAAGGGCACGGTGCAATTTTCTCCCTTTTCTCAAATGCTACTCTTAGTCCTTTTCTCTTCTAACCCAGAGCAAAGAAAACACCAATTATTTAAAAGAAACCTGAATGTAAGAAAATGGTGGTCTTACAGTGTCACCATTCTTATTTGCTGCAACAAGCTCTCCCTACTTAAGCCTTCAGGATAGGTGAGTTTAAAGGCAAAAATCTGTCATAATATTCCAGGTACTGTTCATCTTTCTTTGTTAACCAGGGTTAAGAACAACAATATCACTGACACACTAAGGAAGCACTTCAACCTCGAGCAACCAGATTTAAGGAAACAAAATTAAATAATTTTTTCCAACTAGGAAGCGTATTTTCCACATCCAACAGGAGGCTACTGACAAGATAGTTTCTTCTTAAACAGTACTTTTATTTTTAATTTTAACTATTCAAAACTGCAAAACTTGCTTCACTTCTCTTTACTACTTGATGGTTCAGTTCTTTAAAAGCCCACAAGTACATTTTTAATGAGCAGATTACATTGCTGTACCTACCTTCTTTCATCTCCACATCCTGGTTTGCATTTTTGTCCAGCAGGACATCAGCAGAAATACTTCTCAACAAGACACTCCTATAAACCTACAGGACACCGGGAAAAAACACTCTTGTCAAGGTAAACAAGAAAAGCAGAAGAGTAGATGAAATCCATCTGAATAGAACACTGAAGAGGATTTGACTTTTCCCTTGTCAGCACGAACATTTGAAAAGCCACCTCTAGCTGAGATGTACCGAGAGGAAAGGCAACCCTCTTTACTCACGTGGCTGTTCGCTTGTGGCTGGTTTCTGTAACTTTTCATTATGTCCTGAAAAGTTCTCTCCTCTTTGGTGACCTGGAAAAGAAAAGGCTGCTGAAGACCAAGCGTGAGCAGCAAGGTCGGGCTGCTTGGGTCAGGTCCATCCAAGAAGCTTCCCTCTCTGCAGCTTTGTCGGGGCTATTACTGCAAACGCATGATTTTAAAACTTAGTTCCAGTGATGAAAATATGAAAAAACATGCATTTTTCTTGTTGAGGCCTTCCCTTGTCTCTTAGCTACTAAAGCCTTTTGTAGCTTAGGGTGCTTAGGAATTGTTTCTTTTCTGCCTTTTCTTCTAGGGACACTGAAAATCAAAGAAGGGAAATACTAAGTCAAAAATTTATTTGTAACTTTTCCAAACAGCACGTGAGGAAATCCTGAACAAAATTCTAGGCAGGTACATACATATGTGAGATTTCACCTTTCTTTTATATTTCAAAATAGTTCCATTTGTTAAAGGACTTTGTTTTTCAGCATGCAACTGTAACTTTAATAGCACATGAGCAACAATTGTTGTCGTAGGTGCCAGGAGAGAATGTATGGAGGTCTTTGGCTAAATTGTCAGGTCTCACACTGCACTGGAGACAGGACTCTGAAGGCCGTATTTATAAACAAGAAACCAAAACCCACAAACAAACTACACGATAAAATTTGCTAAGATACGCTGCAGTTAAGAGCGCAGGGAGATACAGTTTGAACTTTAGTTTCCCTCCTCTTCATTTGCCTTCCTCGAAAAGAAAAGGCAATCCAGCCCTAAAGTTCTAGAGGAGCCTGGGCACAGTTCCACTTCCCTGAATTTGTGTCTGAATTGCACGTGGTCATTGGAACCACGAGCTCTTGAGTCTGAGTCGAACCAATATCCTGTTTTCATCATCCAACTTAGTAACACCTTAAATCTTTGCTGGCCTCGACCTGATTCTTCGAAAGCTCAGAGGATTTCTGTGGAACAGAAACTTTCCATCCATCCATCCATCCAGTTGTGAGGTCCTGCAGATTCTTGCACCTGCATAATTCTGTAACTGTGAGGGTGTTTTTAGTTCAGATTAAACAGATCGTGAAGATGAAGAAAATGATTGAAAACAGAAATACGTGGCAACGAGACCACGAATCGCTTATCAGTGAAGGTGCTCAGAACGAGAAGAACAATCCTCTCTTAACCAACTGGCTGGTTGACGGGGGCTTCTAAGATTACACAAACCAAGGAAAAAGTATACTGGGACCCCATCTGCTTCTCGGAAGGACCCTTCCCTTCCCTCCAGTAATATGACATGAATAAAGCAATCAAACTGTAACCTGTGAACACAATTCACATTTTCAATTGACATAAAATTCCCCGAATTTCTTAAAACTACATGTTACCTTCGCCATGATATAAAAGGCACAGAGGAGGAGCTGGTCCAAATGTCTGTCCTTCATCAGATCAGCACAGTGAACCAGGGTGAATTCAAAGCACGTCCAGATCTTCCTGCGCAAGTCATTGGAAACGTCCAGCTTTAAGCACAGATCGCGCAAACGCACGCTGGCCAGGTGATAAACCTGGAGGAAAAAGACACACAACAGAGTCAAACCAAATGAGCTGAACCCAGTCTGTAAAAAAATCAATATCCTCAAAGCAGAGCTTCTCTCTGTTTGAACAGCTTGGTTCTGCACAATTTTCCCCCTCTGCTCAGGACCTCTGCCCTGTTCGGATGTTGGATCTCTAACGCGTGCAGGACACCTGCATAAATCCATTATGTATAAAGCTTCTGTACCTTATCGCTCACGGCTACAACGGAGCAAAGGACGTGCTTTCATTGTAATTAGCATAATATCGGAATCTGCCAGCTTGCTAACCTTTTTTCTTTATGATCATCAAAGCCTGTCTCGAAACCCTAAATAACTCCTAAGCACAGCGTTAGCCTTCTTCCATTTATTCCAGATGTTTTAGCTTCTTGGACAGTAATTGGGCACATCCTTCAAGCTGGAAAGCAGACAAGAGCCTATTTCATCTTCACTTCTTAACAGGAACAAGAAAGGCAAGTTGGGAAAAACTATCAGTTTGAATTTGATGATTGCTGTAAACAGAAGGTAAAAATTTAAAGACAAGTAAGCGAAGATTTTAGCTCTCCTTTGTAACTGAGAGACATGTTTTCTACTACGTGTTTTGTCAAATACACGCTCCAGCTGAACTCTTCCCCAGCTGTGAGTAAAGCATCCAAAAGGCAATCGGAGCTCACGCCTAGCAGCTGTCTGATCAGCCCTTAACCTGCTCTCAGAGAGACAGGCAGACTCTGCCTATCAATACTAAAGAACCAATAATTCAGTAACAGGACTGGGCATACAAGTGTTTGCAGGAATGAGTTTCTGTATTAAGATTTGCCTTGAAGATTGTTCAGTCCAGAATTCTCTGGGTTTACAATACAGACAGCCTAAAAGGGGAAAACCTTTGGAAGTAACTTCCCTAGTAAGAAAACAGCAAAAAACCCAATCATCTAATATTTTTGAGAGATTAATTTCGAATATATTTCTTTGCAGTCATTTTAGGCAAGTTACCCCTGCCTCCTCCAAAGACCCCTCACATACTCCACATTGGAAACAAAAGCAACTAGAAACACCTAAAGTTTCTCTGAAGCACACCCAGCTCTTAACTTACCCCTCAAATCCTGCACTGTTTCAAGGAGTTCTAGAAACTTTACGGTAGCAGGTTAGTCATCACTGCTTTCCGAGGCCTCCTATCAGCAAGATCAGAGCGACTGGGCAGACCTCGGAAAACTGCAAACACGAATCCCCAGATGCTGGATCCCAAACGGTGCGGTTGGGAATGAGCAAAACATGGGAGAATAATCTCATTTCAGATCTGTCTGTCCCTTGCAAACGTGTAGGGCGGTAAAAATAGACATGAGAAGTTAAAATTACTGATATTTGTTAGGCAGGTAGTTATAAGCTGGTAATTAAAAGAAAAAAACCAAACACATGAAGCGTCTCATGGGGAGGGAAAGGGGGAAAACCGGATTCTCTGCAACACTTGACATCTTTTCCCTTCTCCTTGCAGGGGGACAAAAACTGCTGCCGCCATGTAAATAACTCCTAAGACTGAAAGGTGCGACAAACTGCACCGGGAGGCAAACCTCAGCAGGGCCGAGGGGAGAAGTAAAGCACAACTTCCTCATAAAGGCACCGACCTTTCTGTAGAACAGCGCCAAGGACCCCGTTCTCTTTGGTTTGCTCGCTGACGACTGATGCACTTCGTGTGCCGGATGCCCCTGGGGGTGGCTGGGAGCTGGCGCCTCCGTTTTACACGACTGCCCCAAGCTCATAGAGATGGGGATCAGCGTGATCCCACCCACGTCGTTCGCGATACCTGGAGATGACACACACACCCCGGAATAAACCGGTTGCTCTCCTCACGCCGCAGAGTTAAACTCCAAATCATCAGGTAATTCACAAACATTTCGTACTTGTCCCTGAGTCTTCAGAAATGATTAAAAATTACATTTCCAGTAATGCTTAACGAACATGAACGTGAACGATAGTTTCTAAAACTATCTGAAAGTACAATGCTTACATGAAATCACAATTTCTGTAGTCCATGTTCCCCTCTTTCGGATGAGGTGGGCAAACTGTTGTTTTTTTTTTTGTATTATCCTGAAAACCTGTCAGGACATTGTGTACAGTCCTCATTAGTTTCCTCAGCAGCCAAATTCTCTTGCTGAAAATATCCTTAAACATGAAAAGTGGAGGATTTTTTTCCTTTGAATCTTTATCTGTAGACCCAGTTTTTAAATTAAAAAAAACCCCAAACCTACAAAATTCATTTCTCATATACCATTTTCAAATATTCGATCACCACCCAACTTCAGCAAAACAAGAAATCCCCCCACTATTCTGCTGACATCAGCACATGGACCTTACTCACAAATTCCAGAGCCTTTTAAGATTATAAGAGCCCATAACAGTTAAGACCTTAGTGGAGTCAAGCAAAGCATTGCTTAATCTGTGGTGAGGTGTAACTGGAAGAAACAAGAACTGCACAACTTTGTTCACACGGAGGAATCCTCAGGACGCGTGTCAGACAGCGGGTATCTCCGTGGGAGGAGATGTCAGCATAAACGGAAGCTTTTTGTTTTAATAAAGGAATACATGTCGTTTCATTAACAAACAGAAAGCAATAAACATCCAAGATGCATGGTCAGCCTAAGCAGGTCTTAAGAGCAAGGAAACCATCTAGGAGAGAAGAAAAAAGGGAAGACTTTGTACCGTGCAGCGGGATAGTAACCTTCTGGCCTGGCTTTCCTGGGACCACAGCCGTCGTCACGGTCAGCACCGTTTGGCCAGGAGACACCGACACGTTTTCAGCAGCAAAGCTTGACGCTGGAGCAATTGTCAACTTAGTTCCTTCGGTTAAAATTTTTTCCATCTGCGTATCTTTGGGGCTGTCGTCACCAAAGAGCCTTCTCTTGGCACTTCCAGCTGCAGGAGAACTGTAGCGCTCGTGAACAGAGATTGGGGACAACGCCTGCAGGTCTGGTACGCAAAGGAGAGGGGGAAAAAACCAACAAAACACTAAGAGGAGCAGCCCAACAGGAATATTTCTCCATGGGAAGGGAAAAGGCTGACCTTCAAACTACAAAACCAGAGCACAAGAAATAATCACTCCTAGTTCAGGACTACTCTCACGGTTCACTGTTCCTAGACCTATAGTCTGTCTCCTTTCCATCCCAGCCAGCTGCTTGCCAGTCACACAGGGCACAGGAGCAGCCAGGCTAACCTGCAGGGCTGAGAACACCCAGGATTACAGGTACTCGCGCTCCAGCCTGCTTCGCCGACCTGTAATATTTGCAAGTGCTATCCCACCGTGCCCGTTCCCTGGACGTGCTGTCTGCTGTACGTTCTGGCTTTGAAACTCTCTCTACACCAACTCTGGCCAGAAGCCTCTGCCCTCATCCACGCCTGCTTCCTCTCGGGCTTTTCTGTTGCTTTCAGACACGTGCTCCAGTAGTAAGACTGAAGCACAAAACAGTCACCTACAGGCCTCACTTCCTCTGGCTTTTTTCTATTTCTGCTGACATCCACGAGCCACTTGCCAGGACACCAGGGACAAAAAAGTTTCCCATTTCCCATGAAGCAGAAACCTTCTGGGTAACTAGCCAGGTACAACTGACAACTTCTAACTCTGCCAGGATGGTTTTCTTGGTTCCGGGGGCAAAAAAACGTTGCCAATTGCCACCATTTTTCACTTGAAATTAGGAGGAGCATTTGTTACCAGATTCTGATATACAAGATAAAGTCTCACACAGCCCCACCTAGACCATCTCCAAGGTGCTCTCCCTTCCATCAGACAATTAACCACAGCGTCTACTGCAACTGCTTACACATCTCTTTCCTAATGAGCATTTAAAAAACATACTTGTAATGCCATTTGCCAGCCAAACACAAAGCAGACAACACCACACACCACTTAATCCACAGCACATCAGCAAGAATCCACAGGCTATTGTTGGGGACACAAGGAAAGCACCAATTCCTAACTAGGGAAGTAAGGAAAAGCAACCACAGCGCTCCCACTGCCCCTTGGCAAGGGACAGCTCCGCAGGACAGCTCGGAAGCTGCACAGAGCAAGGCAGTTCTTCAGAGGAAAGAGTACTGCAGACAAAGTATTGTCCTGCCCTTCTGCCAAACGCAGGAAGCGAGGACAAACATGGCTCTGTCATTCCATTTAATAAAAGTCACCTAAAATCCAGCCAAACTCACCTAGAACAAAACAACTGGAAGGAGCCGCCAGATGCCGACCCCCCTGCGGGCAAGGGACCCTTTGTGTCAAGGCAGCAGCAAAACCTGCTCCTGTTCAGAAGCGAAGTGTTATCACCAGGGTCTGCTGCCCGTCAGTCACAGCGATGGTTTGACCGGATGCATCCGGACTTTCCCTTGATCACATACGAGGCTTCACAATTCTGAGTGCTTCATTCTGACTGAAGATTGCTTTTTGCGATTATAAAGAAGTCTAAACTCCCCTCTCCCCAAATTCACATATTCAAGTCACACCGGAAACCCAGAACATACCCCGTCTTAAACTCCCACCAAGATCTGTCCGAACCTCTTTCACTCGAGGATGAATTATAGGAGATATTGGCATCATAGGCAAATGCCCAAGGCCGCTTCCTCCATTGCTTGCTTCGAAATTACTGGGAAATATTACCTGAGAAATAAGAAATGCCAGTGTAAGACAACAAACAGATTTCTCTTCTTCGTGCAAGTCTATTAATGGAAGTTTTTCCACACTCATTGTCTCATTTGAACAGTTTTCTGTACAAAACAACCGTAAGAAAATGAATGTGGATTTCTTAATGAAAGGAAAATCTGGGAACGTACTTCTTCACAGGTTGGAACCTTGTTTTCGGAGGCCTGGAGGGCGTTCCAGAGTGCCGAGTCCCGAGTCCAGGCGAGACTCTCTAGAATTTGTTCCTCAATGCTGTTGAGGTGCTTCACCATGTCTCTGGAAAGTCCTTCCTCAGATCGAATCAGCACTTCAATCACCTAACGGTAACAAGAGACACGACAAAAGCAAAGTCACATCGCTCGTGCTTTACACCATCCAATCGTTATCCTGTTCAAAACTCCTACTCAGTGCAGGATGCTCCAGCCTCCTCCTCACGTTTCAATCTTCCCCAACCTTCTTCTGACACTTTTTTTTTTTTTTAACCTCCTTTCGCAAAAGGCAGTACCCAGGAGCTGGTAACAAGACAGCCGGTGTCCCAGCAACACAGAACCCTTAACATGTACTAAACGGGGTTGAAAAAGAATTGGAAGGGCCCTTGAAATATCACACTCCAGCCCCGGGCTCCAGTGCAAGATGTACTTTATTTGTGTTATTTCTGACAGAGGGACACTCGGCCTCTTTTTCTACAGCTCCAAAAACAGAAACATCATAAAACTTTCCTGGAGCACTTACTTATTTCTAGTACGGAAGCTAAGCACCCAACAGACAAAGTCACAAATGGCATCTAAAGAGAACTACTGATTTATTCAGGACTAACTGCAGTAAGCTGTTCGGGATCTGTTTGGCTCACATAAGGACCATCTTCAAAATATATGTTCGAATGCTTTAGCCTACTAAAAGTTTACATACGTAAAGAACTAAAAGTTGATCAACAGCAGTTAAGTACTATTTACAGTTAAGTACTATTTACAAAACAGTTTTCTTGCTTTCAATTTCAGCACCAACTGCAACACTACACATTCTAATAATATCACAGAACCCTCGAATGTCTTAGGTTGGAAGGGACCTTAGAGATCATCTCACCCAACCCCTGCCATGGGCAGGGACGCCTCTCAACCAGCCCAGGTTGCTCAAAGCCTCATCCAACCGGGCCTTGGACACCCCCAGGGAGGGGGCAGCCACAGCCTCTCTGGGCAATCTGTTCCAGAGTCTGGCCACCCTCGTACTGGAGAATTTCTTCCGGAGATGCAATCTCCCCAAGATCCCGTCTAAACCTATTCTCCTTCAATTTAAATCCATTTCCCTTTGTCCTGTCACTGGACACTCTTGTCCTAAGTCCCTCCCCAGCCTCCCTGCAGGTTCCCTTCAGGCACTGCAGGCAGGGATAAGGTGCCCCTGGAGTCTTCTCTTCTCCAGCTGAACAATCCCAGCTCCCGCAGCCTGTCCTCACCGCAGAGCTGCTCCAGCCCCCGGATCATCCTTGTGGCCTCCTCTGGACTCGTTCCAACAGCTCCACGTCCCTCTTATGGTGGGGGCACCAGAACTGGACGCAGGATTTGAGGTGAGGTCTCACAAGAGCAGAGTAAATGGGGAGAATCCCCTCTCTTGATCTGCTTAGTCATATACTTAAGGACAGTTGGAATTTAGAATAGGCACATTACACACCAACATCAGCCCTCCTCCTACTTGATCACCTAGGAAGGAGGAGCATCATCCTCTACGACCATCAATCCCGTACCGCACCATTGTTAATACGGATCCAGTCCTAAGCCGGCATTTATTTACCTTATAGAAATAGAACGGCCTGAGGTCAAGCACTTCAATGATCCAGGGAAAGGTCCGGGGTGAGCTGTACGCGAAAAGCACGATCTCCAAGCAGCACGCCATGAGCGAGCGGTGAAAGACGTCTTGTTCCAGGACAGCCTGAAGAGATTACCAAAATGTCACCAGCTGGAGGGCTGGGAAACAGAGGCTCGAGTTTTGCGGCACTAATACTCCACTGCTGGAGAGAAGAGCTACTGCTTTCTTCTATCTTCCCCAATCTCCTCTTTGTCAGGGAAGCTTAGCACGCTGAAGACTAGAAGCAGAGACTGACAGTGCCAAACCCATCACGTTTCTTATACCACAGCCAAATGACCTGGCCTCCTTACCACGAATCATGAAGCAGAGCAAATGCACTGCTAACTAACACAACGTATTGGCATTAACGAATGTAAGCAGCTCTCCGTCCACAAAGCTGTGATTCTAGAACACAACACTGCTGAAGATGGTTAAGTTACACCAGAACCGTAACATTTTTAATAGCAGTTAAAAGTATATTTAAGCACCTCCGACATACTTCCCCTTTTTTAGTACTAACAATATACAGTGACTGCTTTACTGAGACCGTTTTGGAACTGTCTGGAGATAACCCCTGACAGATAACCCCTACAAAAAGCATTGTCCTCTTTGCCAGTTCTTTACTCACCGTCAGATCCTTCCCATGGAGCCTTCGTGTTTCTTGCACCATGATAGTCTCCAGGATTTTATAGTACAAGATCTCTGCCAGTTTTAATCTGTTTACAGCAAAATCTGAAATTTAAAACCAGAGATGAAGCCCAACATCACTTGCAGAAATGGTTTTAAGACTGAGCTGACCAGTACCTGTCCTTCTCTAAGAAAACAGTATGTGCGTGCGTACGTATACACTTTGCAAACCAAAAACGCGTGTTCAGAAATCCACTTGTGACAAGAGTAGCATGAAATTCTAGATACCCTTTAAAGGATTAAGTATTTTATTACTTCTACTCATGTAATTTTGCAGACAGTTGCAAGAATAATTTTCTTATCTGTATTTCATCTCCTTTAAATTTTAATTCTAAGAAGAATGCAAGCTTAGAATTTTTGTTAAGAGCTGCCATAGTCTCAATGCTCTCTTCGTTATCCAATTTTGAACTGCAACCTTGGTTTTACTCTGCAATAAAGTTTTATTCTTCACAGTGTTCTGTTGGACAGCAGCAGTTTTCTCTTTGGATACATTGCAGGTTAATAACAGCTCCACTGTGTTAAATACTTAAGACATTAGTAAGTGTATGCATTTCATTTGCCCTTGTTTAATATTTTGAACCACTCTACACACTTCACATCCCACCTATATGAGATCCCGGCTGTTCATCTGTCGACTGCGTGTAGCTGCGACAGAACGTCTCACCGATTTCTTTCACTCTGCTCATTATGCTTTCCATCGGGCTGCGGGCACAGGACCTGAAGGAGAATACAAAGAGAAAGCCTTGTTTGCACAAATGAGGGTCCAGCTTTAAAAAGCCCTCAAAAAACACAGCAAAACCAAAACTCCAATCAAATAAAAAGCAGATAGTTAGATGGAGCTCTCCTCATCGGACAATAGCATAAACCACACAGAAATACTGTCAGCCTTTCCCTTCCTAAAAGAGTTAAGATGGGTTACGTAGATTTTGGAACAAACGCAGGAGAAAGCAGGAGCTGCAGCTGCACACTCAGGAGAAATGTAAACTTGCTGAGAGTGAGGCAGGAGGGAGGATGCTGCCACAACAGGGAACGCAACAACCCAACACACCCACGAGACCTCACGAGCTCAGGTGTGAGGCAGCACAGGGATGCTTTCAAAGCGCAGAGTCAGCATCTTTCCAAAAACACCTCGTTCACCAGCAAGGCAGAGAGGAACTGCTGAACTCCACGCGTGACCAGCCTGTGCTTGCTTTAGCTCATATCCAAAATGAGCAAAAGTACTCAATACATTTCTTGCCAGGAGTTTTACTCAATTCTTTTCCCCAATGTACTATTTACATCTCTCCTGACAGACTGGTGTTACTACTTGAACCCACATTTTTCATTACAGATTGCAGACACGTTACTGTTTTAATTGTGTAATATGAATAATATCAAACAGTCCTTAAAAAAAAAAAATCAAAGAAAAATTCAAGATGGAAATACATCTGTCTGAGCATTTGTAAAATACTAAGAACCAGGGCTTTCAAAATATACATAACTCCAAAGAACTAGAAGTATTATTTTTCATCTATTTGTGAAGGTTGCTTTAAAAAAAACATTACTTTTGCATTTCAGATATGAAGTGCTAATACTAAGTGTCCATTCTGAATAATATTAGCTATTACACTGAGGTGATCAGCGACACCCAACCTGGTTTCACTAAGGGCAAGTCGTGCCTGACTAATTTGGTGGCCTTCTGTGACAAAGGCACAGCTCTGGTTGATATC